TAAATTTTGCCAATTCGATTACGGGCCCGAAAAGAATCAGCTAATCTACAATGCAACGGAACCGCCGGAATACAATTTAGCGAACATCAACGTGCCGATTGGGTTATTCTACGCCGATAACGATTGGTTGGCCGATAGTCGGGTAGGTAGCGAGAAAACGCGTTTACACCGAAGAAACACGTACATGGGACATACATTTATATTAAGGATTAATTCTCATTAATGTTGTAAATTACACTTTATACGCAGAGGCATGCAAGAAAAATAAGGTAACGCATGATAACTCGTGATATTTTTTTCAAGGACGTGAAGAAACTTTATAGCATGTTACCCAATGTTTTGGACATGTACAGAGTACCGTTTCCTAAGTTCAATCATCTTGATTTCATTTGGGCGAAGGACGCGCCTGAGCTCGTGTATAAGAGACTGCTCAAGATCATCAAAATTGGAAATTCAGATAATAAGGATAAGAACTGAGTGGGATATTAAATCTTTGCGACCACGGCCAAAAATTAAAAGTAATTTTTAGCTTGTAGTATCTCGAAATAGTTTGTGTGTAGATGAATTAAAATGTGCTATTTTTGCGCTTTCATCGTTTGAATTTCGATTACAAGAAGATTATAATTCAAGCAAAGATATACAAAAAATTATAATTTTATTATGCTTTCTATTTATATTATTATTAATCTGATATTTTTATTAAATAAAATTGATAGTTTTAAAACAATAAAACTAAATTTTTAAAAACTATAAAACTAAACAAAATGGATTTTTTACTATTGTTAGACAGTATACAATTTTTTTATGCTTACATTTCATTAAATAGAATAAGATTAGGAATTTGTTAGAGAAGAATAGAAATTTTGTGAATAAATTATTACAGGATATGTGCGAAAAAAATTTATGAAGGGATTTCCGCGTAATGTAAGCTTGGATGATATTTTATGTTATTAGTAATTAAATAATAAAGGAAGTCATAAAATAAAGAAAAAAATACAATATGTTTATTTAATATCACTAATCCTTAATATACTATTTTTAATATGCTATAATAATTAGTGTAATTACTAAATTAAGTAAC